GGCACCCGACAGGGCAGTGGGCGCTGTGACTGCCAGCCCAGCTATGGGGGCCCCACCTGTGCCCAGTGTGGGGACGGTTACTATGAAGCCACTCGCAACTCCAGCCACCTGGTATGTGAGGGTAGGTAGTGGGCCAGGGAGAGGGAGGCCCTTGGGCTGGGGGTGGAGATGGCATGGTCTGCTCAGCTGTGGATGGGGCCCCCCTTCGTGCACCATCTCACCCCATCCCTCCCTTTCTCCCTTTCCGTCAGCTTGTTTTGGCCCCTGTTCCCGTTGCTCCGGTCCCAAGGAGGGTAACTGCCTACGCTGCAAACAGGGTTGGGCCCTGCACCAGCAGAAGTGTGTGGGTGAGTGTAGTAGTGGGGCAGGCAGCACCAAGGACAGAGCTGCCCCAGAGATGAGTCACTTGTGCCAGACTAGTGAAGAGAGCTTGAGGTCAGGAGAGTTGGATTCTTAACCCTATACCACTAAGTAGCTACATGACTTTGGGCAGGTCACTTAAACTCTCTGGGCTTCAGTCTTCTCATCTGTAAAAAGGGGCCTAAAATATTGTTTGATGAAGAACTGTGAGTGACTTAGCTATTCTCGATTCAATGAGCCAAGACAATCCCAAAGGACTTATGGTGAAGTGTACTCTCCGCCTCCAGAGAGAGAACTGATATTGATTAAATACAGACTGAGGCATGCTATTTTTCACTTTCTTTCCTTCATTTTTTTTTCTTTTATTTGAGTCTTTTTGTACAGAATGAGTAATTTGGAAATGTTTTGCATAATTGCACATGTATAACCTATATCTGATTGCTTACTGTCTCAGGGAGGGGGGAGGGGAGGAAAGGAGGGATAGAATTTAGAAGTCAAAATGTTAAATAAAAATGTTTTAAAAATTAGGGAAAAAATGGGGCTAAAATTACTTTTCCCTTATGGGGCTTTATAAGGATCAGATGAGCTAATGGATGTGAAAAAAACTTGAAAAGAATAACATAGAGTACGATGGGGCCTCTGAGGACAGAGTCCCCACAAAGTTAGAGAGAGTCAGAGGCTGGAGGGAGGCAGCTGTCTCTGAAGGCTCCCCCTTTTCCACAGATATCGATGAGTGTGGGACAGAGATGGCCGCCTGCAGAGCCAACCAGTTCTGCGTGAACACAGATGGGTCCTATGAGTGCCGAGGTCAGACCCAACTTTGGAGGTGGAAGTTTGGGAAAGGGAGGCCCCTTGGGAGAGACAGTCCCTCCTTCCAGTTCTTACTGCCTACTCCTCCCCTCCTCAAAGTGTTGTCAGATCATGGGGTCCTCTTCACAGCCCTTGCTCTTCCCTTTCTCCTCAGATTGTGCCAAAGCCTGTGCTGGCTGTATGGGGGCAGGGCCTGCCCGATGCAAGAGGTGCAGTGTGGGCTACCGACGAGATGGAGCCAAGTGCTTGGGTGAGTGACTCTTCTCATTTTCTGCCGACCACTGCCGAGCCATCTGGGCTACCTAGCACTAAGGAATGTGGTGGTGGCCAGGGACTCTGGCTCAGGGGGTCTGGAGCTCCTGTTGGAAGGTTGCTTTCAGATAAGGCATGACTTCCCTTCCGTCCCCCAGATGTGGATGAGTGTGAGGGTGAAGTAGAGGTGTGCACAGGTGCTCACGAGCTCTGTGAGAACACAGACGGAAGCTACCGATGTGCCTGTGTGGAGGGCTATGAGAGAAGCCAGGAGGGCTGTGTGCCTCGGCAGGCTGAAGGTGAGATGTGTTCTGTATGTAGAACCCAGGACTTCAGACACCTTTTGGTGGGGTTCCTCAGGGCAGCAAAAGCACCTTCCGGATTAGCCTGGTGGGTGTTGGAGAGCTCAGTGTCCTGCCCTTCTTTTCAGTCTCCAGTAAGATTACATAGAAGACTGTCTGTTGTATATCTGGCCAACTGGACATAGGCCGTCTGTAAGACACTTGTCATGTTTATTCTTTAGTGTCCATAGCCCTTCCCCCAACTGCTTGTTTTCTGTGCGTGCTCTATTCTTGACTGCGTTTCCCCAGATCACCCCTCTCCCAAGGCCTTGCTTCCTGTCTTCGACATTCACCTGGCCTGAGCTGGCTTATGTCCAGCATGGCCTAGCAGATAGAACCTTAGACTTGGAGTCAGGGTATCTAAGTTCACACTCCTTTGGGGATGCTGGGCAAATCCCATTGTTCCTCAGCTTCAAAATGAGGATAGTGCTATAGTGAGAGCAGCTACCCCAGAAGGTGGTTAGACTCCAAGAAGTCATGTGTGTCTTTGTAAACACTTTGTAAAGCTCAGAGCGTTGTTTGCACGTTAATCTCTTAATCCTTACCGTCTGCAGAGCCCACGCCTGGTGGCTTCTTCTCGGAGGTGACGGACGATGAGGTGGTGGTCTTGCAGCAGATGTTTTTTGGGGTCATCATCTGTGCCCTGGCTACGCTGGCAGCCAAAGGTGACATGGTCTTCACTGCCATCTTCATCGGGGCTGTGGCTGCCATGGCCGGATACTGGCTGTCTGAGCGTAGTGACCGGGTGCTGGACGGCTTCATCAAAGGCAGATAGAGACTTGCCAGAGGTGGGAGGGCCCCCCTCCCTCTCTGCAGTACAGGGCCAAGGGTGGTTGGCTCAGGTCCAGCCCCAGGGGCTGACATGGGGAAAGCCTGGACACTGATTGTGGGGAGAGATCCAGATGAGGAGACAGTTTGGGCAAGTTAAGGTTTGTGCCAAGGAGGGAAGAAGCCAGAGTTGAGGTGAGGTGGGTCAGCAAACCTGAACTCTAACCCAAGCCCAACTGAACCGGGACTGCTGGCTTCCAGGTGCCACACCAGTCCTCTGCTAAACTCAGTGCCTCTCTGTCCCTTGGCTTCCATCTTTATAGATGAGGTCCACCTAGGCAGAGCTGGAGATGGGGCAGATATCTCCCTCCTAGCCAGAGGCTAGGGTTGCAGTTACTTTGTTTTCATGTGTGGTGACTGAGCCAGGGTTCCACCCGTTCCTCTGGCTTCTTCACCACACTCCCCTTCTCTATCAGATGCACTTCCTGGGGCCCTCCTCTCCCCTTTGCACTGGGGCTCTAGGCCCTACAGTGATGCTGAGGCCTACCTGTCTTAGAAGCTGGCAATGGAAGGGTTTTGAAAACATGTCCCTGGAGGCAGAGCCCAAAACTTCAAGGGGAGTGGGGGAGGGGGGTGGGAACGAGATAACTGAAGGGGAGAACAGTCCTAGTTAAGTAATTTTTAAGAATCATTTCTCTGTTTTGGTAGTGCCTACGACCTTGGCCACACAGCTGTGCCCTACCTTCTTCCTTCTCCCCTCTTTAGTCCTGGGAACTGGGAGACAGAGGGAGGTGGTCCATGCAAGGGGAGGGGAGCAGAGGGACGGAATCCTCTCGCATGGCCCCTGCCCTTGCTTTTGCCCACACTGACTCAACTATTTATTCATCTCAGGAAAATAAAGCTCTTCATAAATCTAGCAATGACTCCAGCCTCTCTCAGCCACCCTGCCATCCACCCCAGGCCCTAGCCTTCAGTTCCACGTAGTGTACATTTGTCTAATGCTAACCCTGTGAGGTAGGATGTACAAGCAGGGTCCAGCGGGCCTTTGATCACCTTGAATGGGCTGTCCAGATTCACTCATCCATCCTCATGTCACCATCCTGTGTCTATGTCCTCCCCTGAGGTTGCCCTTTGTGGCTGACCTAGTGAGCTGGGAATTTTCTTTCATTTTTCCCTGATTTCTCAAGGATACCTTGCCCCACCTTGTTATCTCACGATCTTGCCCATAACCAGTCTATCTTTGCCACTCATACATTTATTTCTTGGACATTCTTAACTCTAGTTCTTCAGAATTCCTTATTTTGTTACATGCCACACTCTACCCACTCCCAGCACGCATCTCTTCATTGCCCTTTGTGTAAAACTTAAAAAAAGATTCCCCCAAAATTTTTGGGCCAAAATATAACTCTCCTCATTTTACAGAGAGGAAAACTGAGTGTCACAAAGGTTAAATGGCTTATCCTAGGCCCTCTGATTGGGGAATCACACCCAGATCCCTCTGAATTACTCTGAATCTTGGTTTATAGCCTTTTCAACTCCCTAGAGAAGAGAAGGCACTAAGGAAGGTTTGTCTCCCTTTGGAACTTGAAGAACTCGGATTGGCCACTGGGGTTGGGAGGTAGAAGGAGAGGATTTGCCTTCATTTTCAGTGTGGGAGCTTCAGGAATTGTCCCCTTGGGTAAGGGTTACAGGATTAGGGAATGCCTTTTGTGTATGGAAGATTCGGTTAGAGCAAGGGCTGTTTGGAGGTAGGCTGGATGCCAAAGGAGAGAGAGGCCTCATGGCCAAAGACTGCCCACTCCCAACCTCCATCCACTGGTTTGTAGACTGTCCCTCCCGAGATCATCTTATTCTTCAAGTGCAGCTGCTGGTCTTAGACCTAGGAATAGAAGGGACTTTTGAGGTGATCTAGTTAAACCCCCTCATTTTACAGATGAGGAAACTGAGTCCCAGAAGGGTTAAGTGACTAGCAAAGCCAAGATTTTAATTTCTGTCCTGTGACTTCTGAGTTCAGCACACTTCCTGCTGTGGGACTGTCATGGATGTTGGAGCAGTGCCTGGCTTTCCCTTCCTTGGGTGGTTGAAAGCCCAGGCTGGGATGGTAGGAGTGGCCTGACCCTTCACAGAGCTGGAGGATGGAGATCATATGGGAAGACGTCCAGGACTTGAGGGCTAAAGAGGGACAGGAAGGGGTGGGCAAGGCACATTGGTTTGAAAACTTTATTTTGTCGTTCTTTTGGCACAAAGCGGGAAGTTTTAGACGTGGCTCTCCAAGGGGCTTCTTGCAGAATCCTTCCTTCCTTGACTCTGTGCTGAGGGGGCAGCAGAAGGCTGGGGCAGAAGCCCCTTCCCATAGAGCTCTTCCCCCACCCTCCTTCTGGCTCTGCCTCCACTTGGTGAAGGCCATAGCCCCTGGGCAAAATCAGAGTTCCAAAAAAAAAAAAAAAAAAATTTAAAAAAAATCCCTGGGCTGCTGTGGGGAACGGAGAGAGGGAAGGGAAGAGGCTCCCCCTTTTATCTCTAACCCCTATTTCCCCATTGTCTACCAATTTTGGCCTGATCACAGCTCTATGGTCTCGCTAGAGGCGCTTCGCGAGTCCACCTGCTTACTCAGGGCCAGGAAGCTCCGACGGGCCTCGCGCTCTGGGTCCCCGGGCTCTTCAAGGGCGGGCACCGGCTCCGGCTCGGCCTGGGAGGGCAGCAGCTGCACAGTGCTGGGCAGCTCGTCTAGAGGCAGGCTCTCCACCGATGACAGCCCGTGGCGCCACGGGTTCCAGCTGATCTTGAGGGAGCCCTTGGAAAAACTGTCCAGCGAGCTTCCGGACGCCGCCCCGGCCTCAGGCTCAGGGGCAGGCTTGGGGACAACCCGCACGTCGGTCAAGGAACTACAGCGATCCTGAGGGGTTAGGCCCGAACGGTCCGGGTCACTGCTGCGCCTCTGTCGCAAGAGGGAGCCGCCTGGCTGGGAGAGAGCCTGCAGGGAGGCGGCTGAGTCCCGACGGCCCAGGCCAGCTGGGTACTGCAGGCTGGAGCGCAAGAAAACGCTGTCGCGGACCAAGTGCTCCCGGAACAGCGCTTCGTCAATGCTCCGGCTCAGGTTGATGGGTGAGGGCGGGCGCAAGTCTAGCTCGCTCAATGACAGCCCCGCAGTTTTATCCAGGCACACGCTGCTGCGAGAGCGACCTGGGCCCACGTTGTTGGGGTACTTGGGGCTCCGTCCAGCCCGAGCTAGGGAGGCCGCCGAGCCGGCGGGGCTAGGAAGGACCTGGCCAGCTCGCAGCTCATTGCTGTCCTTGGGGGGCCGGAATCCCCCGCTCTCGGCAGGGTTGCGAATGAGGCTCTTGCTGATGTCGGTACCGCAGCGCTCGACCCCGGGTGTGCCTGTCCAGTCGTAGCAATTGTTAGGATACTCAGGCACCTCGTTTTTCCCTGGTGGGGGACATGCATAGTGCAGCAGCTTGCCCCAGCACGTGTGTTCAGTGGGCCTCGGTCCCCAGCGGCATGAAGCGACCCCAGCCACCAGGGCCAGGGCGGCGGCCCAGGCGAGTTCCACCAGGCGTAGCCAGAATTGCACGCCCCACCAGGGCCAGGAGAATCGGCTGGGGGTCCCCGCCAGCGGGTACAGCCACACAGCGGCCGTCAATTGCAAACCACTGGCCAGCAATCCCAGGGCCCCGCCCACAGCCAGGACCCTGGGACCGGGACCTGGGGCTCGGCTCCTCCCGTGGCCCTCGGGGCCAACCTCCACCGCACCAAGTAGCCAGCGGCGACACAGGAGCAGCGTGCCCAGCGCCACCCCGGCGCCCCAGGCGCACGACAGTCCCTGCACCAGCAGGTTGAGAGGAGGGCGAAGCCAGGGGGAGAGCAGATCAGCTCCCAGCAGTAGCGTCCAATGCACTGCACCCAGCGCGCCCAGCAGACGCAGGCTGCGCAACCTGGGCGGGAGCAGCTGCCCGAGGCCCAGTAGCGCCAGCGCCCCGAGGGCGGTCACGAGCAGCGGGAAGGGCAGATTGTAGAGGACCAGCCCCGTGCGGGCTGCCAAGCGGCCCCGCGAGCCGTACGGGTCGGCCAGTAAGTAGATGGCGCGCAGCAAGGAGGCAGCTAGCACGAGAGCGGCCGCGGCCAGCGCGTGGGCTCGCCCGGGCACGTGGGGAGTGACCGCTGCGGCCACTAGGCCTGCCAGAGCCAGGAACGCCAGCAGCAGGAAGAACGCTCCGGCGCCGTACACGTGGAGCTCCCAGGCGAAGCTCAGCGTGTGCCGCAGGGGCCCCCAGCGCAGCGGCGGGGAGCTCGTCTCATTGGCCTGGGGGCCGCACGCCCTCGGGCCGCAAGTGGTATCCAGAGGAAGGTCTGAGGCCGCGGGACTGGAAGAGGGCTCCGGAGGGTTCGGCTGCCCCAGGGCTCTCTGGGTGGTGACTCGGATAAGACCCCTGCGGGAAGTGGTCAGGGACGGCCCGGAGGAAGCTGGAGGGGCCGGAGGGTGGCTCTGAGGAGGCCGCTCCCCGGGCTGTCTTTCCGCTATGCCTGTAACAAGGACGTCTATGAGATCTCTGCCCTCCCTGAAAACACTGCTCAGGACTGCAGCCCTTCGCCTGTGGTCTGAGAGGGGGTCCACCCACAAAATATACACCTTCCTCGCAGGATCAAATGAGAGAATTATAAAAGCTGCTTGGCTTTTAGCACAGTGACTGGCTCATAGTAGGTACCATATAAGTGGTTACTACCTCCTGGTCCCCTCGCCCCGCCCCACCCCAGCCAACTAGGGGGACTTCCTTTGGTCTCTCTCTCTTAATCGTTGTTATCTGGCACCCTGTGGAAAAAACTGGAACTCTATGGAGCTGGCCACCCTAGTCCTTAGAGCAGCAGAATGGAGAGGTAGACAGAAATTTGCTTGGCATTGGGAAAACTCCCCAACCCCTAAGGCCACAAATGAATCACGTAGAATGGCCTTCCTCTTTTAGAAAGCTAAGGAAAAGGTAAAATGGGAAAGCAGTGGCTTTTTAAAAACGGGAACAGCAGACCAAAAAAATAATTCTTGTCCCTCTAGGAAAATTGGCCCTAGGTCTTCTAATGGGGCTAGATGTGGCCTCCTGGTCTCCAAATCAGGGTTCCAAATCAGAGGATTTCAAATCTGAACTCTTCTGTAGGAAGTTGGGTGAAAAGGGGCCTCTCTCCCCACCACATTCAGGCCCCACAAATAGTTCTCTCACCTGGTGGGCCAGCTGCTGGGAGGCTCTTTGTGGCATTGGTCATCCTCTCAGAAGCAGGGGTGCTTGGAGTGGTAGAATTCTGGGAATTTGGGGATTCCACAGCCCCTCTTACTCGCTGAGGGGAAATCAGTTCAGCTCCTTCCAAGAGTCCTGTCTCTGAAATAATAATACCATCTGGGGGAGGGAAGTTCCTAATGTGACAATTCCTGCCACTAACACAACTGGCAGATGTCTAGAACTTATAGTCTTAAGAATGTTGCCTGAAACTGAGAGATTAAGTGATGCTTTTCCATGTTCATGTAGCTCTAAATTTAGATTTTAGAGGAAGAATTTAACTACAGGTCTTACTGATCCATAGTCCAGAACTCTATCCAATAAACACATTGCTACTCTACTTATCCTGTCTATATAGCAATTCACAATTTTCAAGAAACTTTTGATTTCATCATCTCATTTGATCCCATCATAGAATTGAGAACTCAAAAGGACCTTAGAAATCAGCGAGTCTAATACCATCACTTTTATAGTTGAGAAAACTGTGGTTCAAGGTCCTGCAGGTAGTAGGACACTTGGGATTTGAACCCAGGGCCTCGGATTCCCAAGGCAGTCTTTTGTACTACTTTATATTATTTTTACAAAATTATTCTTCACATTTTGCAGATGAGAAAACTGAGGCACTTAGAGGTTAAATAACTTGTCTATGGTCACATGATAGTAGCTGAACTAGGGAGATCTCAAGATTCTTGGAATTCGGCTTCCTTGGAGGCTCCAAGTGTGAACCTTTCTTGGAGGTCCGTACTTCCTAGAGAGGGCATACCCAGGGCTGCAGGAAGTAGCATGAAGGCTGGGCCTAAACAGGGCTTCTAGCGTTGAGAGGAGACACTCTGGGCAATTATTTCCTGGGTCGGTTCCTTCCTTGCCCAAAGGAACCCACTAGGGTCTAGGATGGAGATTGGGAAGGATGTAAGCTTTCGGGAGCTATGTGAGGAACCTACTTAGAGGGACCTCCCCTTATCACCTACCTGGCCCAGGCTGATGCTCCCGAGACAATGGAGCTGTGGCGTTGGAGACAGGGGAAGGGGATGGTGACCTGGAGCTGGCGAGAAGTGTAGCAGAGAGACTGTTCCCCTCACTGTCAGAGTCCTCAGTCTGGGGGCTAAGGGGAGCCTTTTGGGTGCTGATTTGATGGGCAAAATGGGTACTCCAGCGTCCAGTCCTGAGGTCAGGCTCTTCGGCCAGGACTGAGGGCAGGTGGTTTGCTGAGATCCAGATGGGCAGGGACCTGGAATCCTGAGAGGAAGCCCCTGGAGTGGAGGATGTCAGCTCAGGCTTTAGGAGAGTTTCAGGCCTTAGGACGGAAGACACAGAACTCTTCTCGGTGATAACCTGGGGGGTCTGGGCTTCTTCACTCCAGCTCCTCCCTCCCCCTGGTTTTGGGGAACCCTGCTTCCTCCCTTTAGTGGTAACCTCCCCACTCCAACTTTGTGCTTTTGCTGTCTTTCCCTCTCCAGCTCCCACAGTAGGGCTCAGGGCATGGTCTATTGGGAAGGGGACATAACTGTTCATGGTCCTGAGGGTGACAGAGTCTGCTTGCATAATCAGCTGTCTGCCTGCCCCTGGGATCACAGGACTGCTACTTGGTGGCTGGTGCTCTTGGTCAGTTGTCATGAAAGGCATCCATGAAAGAACTGGAGCCTGGGCAGCCAATGGCTCTTGAAGATTAAGGTCATCATCCCTGCTCACTACCTTCCAACCCAGGTCTTCCCTAGGAATCCCTTCTGGGGTAGGGCTTGTCACACCTTTGGACAAGACCTCTACCTTCTCCTGAACTGTGGACACCTTTGGATGGGGTCTTTGAGTTCTGGGCCCTAGGGCAACAGTGGGGAAGAGATGAAGAGTTGGGGACTCCTCTGGGGACCCACCTGCAAAAGGGAATGGAGCCGCTTGTCCTGGAGTCTGCTCTGAATTCAGAGGACCCCTTCTGTCTTCGGAAATGGGTCCCTTTGAAACCCAAAACTTGAGCCCCATATCCCTGCCCCCTGCATCCCTGGTGCCTAATTTATCTACCAAACTGTATCCCTCCTGTCTAGGTGGAGGCCCCATCCACACAGCTCCAGTGACACTATCTTGATCAGGAGGGGTCCCAAGACTGGCTACTGAGCTCAAAGGAGGAGAGGTGGACGGGGACAGGACTGGGCTATTTGGAGACTTTCTGGACTTTCCAGTTTCTCCTGGCCCCACAGTAGCCCTGAGCCAATCTATGAGGTCTGTGCCAAGTTCACCTCTACCCCCTTGATTTAACCTGGACTGGTCCTGAGTGTTAAGGTTCTGGTGCCTGGTCCCAGGGGTTTCCCCATGGTCCTGCTGGGATTCCTGAGTAGGGTGTTTGTCAAGGCTTTGTCCCCAGCCTTCTGGCTGTCGAGGAAGCTGCCCAGCCTGCACTATGCAAGGGAGGAGGGTCACTGTAAGAAAGACGCTCCAGAGGGAGATGTGAGAGGTGGGGGCCATGGTCAATGGCAGCTCTCCAGGGCGTGCCTTCCTCTGCCTTCACTTTTCTCTTGACAAACCTGCAACAGAAAGGAGAATGTGGGGGGTGAAGAGAATTGGGGGATCCAGTAGAATGTAAGCTCCCTGAGGGAAGGCACTGTTTCTTTTTTATTCTCTGTATAAGCCTCGATAAGCCTCACATAGTAGGAGCTTAATTAGTTCTTGGTTAATGAAACTGATTAATTTATGTAGCATCTACAAGTTTAAAAGGAATATACAACTTCACTTCACAGGTGAGGAAACTGAGGTTAAGTGCCTTGCCTAGAGTCACACAGCTAGTAAGGACCAGAGCCGAGGTTCAAAAGCAGATCTCCAGACTCCAGATCCTCCTCTGGTCCTCCTCCGATCTGACAGTAACAGGGAGGGCACTGGCCTGAAAGTCAGGATACTCACATGCCAATTCCAGTTCTGACTTATAAGTAATGTGACCTTGGACGAATCACTTGACCTTATTGGTTCATCTTTGAAATGAGAGTTACAATAGTGTAAAAGTGAACAGTTTTGAAAGACCTAAGAACTCTCATCAACCATGAGTCCAGAGGACCAGTGAGGAACAGAAGTACTACACAAATATGCAGAATGAGTCACATGTTTGGACATGACCAATGGGGGGATTTATTTTGTTTGACTATGTATATGTGTTACAAGATTATTATTTTCTTTTTTTAAGTGGGAGTACCTTGTGGATCTTATGAGATAATGGGCAAATAAGTGCTTAGGAAAGCATTAGATAGCCATCTGGTTTTTTTCTTAAAGACTTTAATCCCAGGTTTATGCCCTGTCCCTCCTCTGGCCTCAGACTCTGTAGCTCCCCAGGGCTGAGGGGCCAACCAGTCAGTCCTATCCCCTTCTTTCCCAGCACAGCCCCAGCAGTGACTCTCACTTCAGAGCCTGGCAGCCCGACTGTCAGCATCCCCTGTCCTGGCCCGCTTTCACTTTGGGTCTGTCCCAGGGATGAGTTGGTACCTGACTGAAGGATGAAAGCAGTTTAAGCCCTACCTGGTCCCAACCTCTCTGTTCTCCCAAGAAAAGCCTGATCCTGAGTTTCACTCAGGTCCCTGTTGCAGATGATCAATAATATAAGAAGGCCTCCTTTCCTACCTAGGGTCAGATGATTTCAAGCTGGAAGGGACCTCAAAGATCATCTAGTATAACTTTATCATTTTGCAGTTGAGGAAACTGAGACACAGAAAAAGTCATTTTCCAGGTCACATAGGTGTCAGGGGTGGGATTTGAACTCATCCTCTTTGTTATTTTTGAGCAGACCACCTTCACCCAAAGAGACATTCTGAGGGTGGCAGTGACCAGAGTGTTCCCAGAATATGCTCCAGCCCCTGAATATTACAGGAACATAGAAACAGGCTCTGCAGATCAGTAGTCCACCTGTGGGGAGCACTTGGGTTGGCCCCAGTGAGCTTTTTACCTGAAAACTAGGGCACATACATGTTCTGACTGAGAGTGGGGTAGGAGGAATAAAGAAGAAATGAGAGGTGGCATCACAAGTAAGGATGCATATTCCCGGCTTGGAAGCTGTTTCCTAAGTCACTGTGGCAAAGGAGATTTGTGTTTGGGGAGGAGGAGGGTAGATAAGACCCCTTGGTTTCCCACCAATGGCTGCTGTTACTGGCAGCACTGGGGCCACTGTACTGGGGACCAGGTACTGTGCTCCTATCACATTACCCCTCTTCCCTCCCTCTCTCTGATCCTTCTCTTGTGCCTGGCACAGTGCCCTCTCTGCAGTGCCCAAGCTCAGCCTGAACAGGGTGTGTGTGTGTGTGTGTGTGTGTGTGTGTGT